ATGCTTATCATTCGGAAGATTATTATGATCAAAATTGCTTTCAGTATTCCTCAACGCCAGTCAACATCACACTATCGACAAGTATTATTGTTGGTTAATACTCGTCCTTCAAACACAAGATAATCCTAGTCTTACCTAATCTCGTCATATTCGTATTAATCCTACTCTATTCACTCGAAAAATTTGGTCCAGAACCCGTCTTCCGAAGATTTCGCGGCGAGTAAAATCCAGAAATGCCTCAACCGAATCAAGAAGAAATTGGTTATTATAATTCAGCAGCCGACATTCCGGATGATTCGTCTAAGGTTAGAACGAGTGCAATCTGAAGAAATCAGTGCAGTCTTGTTTGAAATGTGGAAATTATGAAAAATCGTAACGAAATAGTCATGTGATGTACTCACAATGAGCTAACAGAAAATAAACCTCGGATAGAATGACAGCAGCATAACGCATGTCTGAGCAAAAAGAATTGTCTAAACGAGATTTTCGAATATTGATCAGTCACTAAAATAATTCTGCAGTCCAAATCAAGCGGTGGTCTACCGGATTCTTACAAGGACATAGAGGCAGACACGACAAACAGTTCAGATCCGGCTGATGATGACGATATAGCGGACGTTGAATGTCACAAAGAGCCGCCGAGAACAAGAACGAATAGTGCTTACGAAGAGATGGATGAACCGGAATATCTGGACGAAGATGTCACCGGTCCGATGAAGTATGTGGCCGTTGTGCAGGATGGCATCGGCGGTTTCGTCACTAAATATAATAAATATCTCAAATGGGCCATTGGCCTTATAATTCTGCTACTATTTCACGCTTATTTAAGTTGGTTTTTATATTTCTAAATATTTCTTACAAATTGTTTGAGAACTTATTATGTATTTGAGAACTTGTTGCTGTAATGCAGCTAAAGTATTACTCTTAATGTTGCGCGATTCCAAACCATAACGAAAAACGATTCCGACTCATCAGATGATAGTTTTGTGGCGGAAGATCTTCGTCAAATCTCATCTCATCAGATTTATTTTCGCCGGTCGCCCTTCTAACGTATATTATTTATCCGCATCCCTCTCCCCCTACATCTACATGCAACACTTCAGTACTCTATTGTATCGTATACCTAATTTCAGCGATTTAACAATTTCTGCAGTACTTCTCTAACTGATGTGAATATTTCTATGAGTGTGATCAATTCAAGAGTATGATCAAAAAAGCCTTCTTTCAGTATACGCGTTAACACTTAATTTTGAACGCGCTGAGACAATAATGATATTGGTGTGTATTGCGTGGGGTTTGACCATATATTACTGTTTGCTGAAACGATTTTTGGGCGAAATTGCCTATCGAACTATATATAAACCTCTGAAGGTAGTGTACGATAGAATTTGGAGTATTTTCATCATTCGAATGTTAGTTTGGTGTTGTTTTGCATTCGTTTGTGTTGATTCATCCGTTTCTTTGTTCGTTTCGTAAGATCTTTCGATCTTATAGAATAGTTTAGGGTGGATAGCAGACTGATTTTGGAGTAGTGTGTGAAATAGTAATGAATTTCAGCACATTTTACATTCTTGTTGCATGCGCAATACTAGCATTCATTATTGTGGACACTCGAAATGATCGTCGCCGACTGATCGGGTTGTCTGGAATGGCATTCTTCCTGGCCTTCATGTTCCTGGTGTCACATAACACGGCCAGAGTGAGTGAACAACACTCTTTGTATATGTATATCTTGCTTGGAGTTGATGTCTAGCTGAGTTCAGGCATGAGATATAACAGTGCAGACTGATTGTAGAGTACTGAATAAGTTTAGCAGATCATGAATAGATCACGCAGATAATTGCTAAGTGAAAGAGATTAAGAAGTGCATAATGATTACTGTATTTAGCTGATTGCGTACATTACAGCACCAATATATGTATCTGTTGGATGTATTTCATCATCAGATATATTTAGTCGTCTCGTTTTAAGTGGAGTGCCTACGTGCATGTCAGACCTACGGATGCAAGTCATCAGGCTGATCTGCCTGACTTTCTAGCAAATTGTTTCCGCCTTCTACCAGCAGCAAAATTGGCAGTTATATCAATGAGCACACATATTCGGTATTTCAGATCAACTGGCGTCCAGTCGCTTGGGGTTATTTCATACAATTCATATTCGGATTGTTAATTCTACGTTGGGATTGGGGAAAAGATAAATTCGAAAAACTGTCGTATTATATCGTCGGTTTTCTTGACTTCACCTACTCGGGCACTTCATTCGTTTACGGATTCTTGTCAGCCCCTCCGAATATATGCGGAATGGATCCGGTTTTTGCCTTCTCGGTACGATTCTTTATCACCCTTTCCACAGTATTCTATTGAGCTCACAAAATTTTCTACATTTCAATGTATTTTTTCTAATTTCTCCAGTTTTTTGATCAAAATGTAATCAGATAAATATCCACTGTCAACTGAGAAATTAAGAGTAAAAGTGAGCTAAACGTGCGATTTCCATCGACTTTAGGGCATTTTGAATGAAGTTTGTGATGATGATTGATGCAGTGAATTTGGATTGCAGTCAATTCAAGTGGTCGTCTACTTTGGTGCAATAGTCTCGTTACTGTACTATTACGGCATCATGCAAGTGGTTCTCAAGAAGATGGCATGGATTGTGCAGTTGACTCTCGGCACAACGGCCACTGAATCGCTGAACGCGTGTGCTTGCATCTTCCTTGGCCAGGTTCATCTTGAAATTGTTCTTCTTTCAGCTGACTTCTGAAAAATTGCTCATACACATCTATTAACTGCTTTCAGAAGTTGAGTTCGTTCACTGCAATAAGTAGAGTTCTCTAATTCATGATTTATGAGATTCAGAGGGTGAGTTATGAATTTCGAGTGAGAACATACGAAATTTGAATTTCACTCATCTGCAGTTGATTTCATCTGACACAAATAAACTTGCCAGAAGCAGCAAGTGTTTACTGGTGTATTTACTTAACCGCATTTGTTTTTCAGAGTGAAGCACCTCTCCTGATCAAGCCTTATCTAACGAAAATGACCGCTAGTGAAATCCACGCAGTGATGACGAGTGGTTTCTCGTGTATTGCTGGCTCGCTGTTCGCTGCGTACATCAGTTTCGGTGCATGCTCTACATACCTTTTGTCTGCAACATTGATGAGTGCTCCGGGATCATTGGCCTGTTCGAAGATCATGTATCCTGAAACGAAGAAGTCACAACTGATCAATATCGAGGACTTGGAGTTGCCGAAAGGGTGAAGAATTGAGTTGTTCTCGTCTGTTGTTTGCACATTGTCTGTGGGCAACGTTTAACTTAAGGGCTGTGATAACCGAGCGAGCGAAATCTGTTTAAAAACATCGGATTCAGAGGGAACTCTGAGAGGTTTGCCGAGGAATGCGCAATTGCAAGATTGATGTGAATTTGCAATAAATGCGATGTGAATGCGATTGATATTTGACGAGTGCTGTTGATCAGCTGAATCGATTTGAGCAAATTTTTGCGGTGAATCAAAGAATGTTTTTGCAGACAGGAAAGTAACGCTTTAGAGTGTATCAGTAATGGGGCGGTGATGGCTGTGGATTTGGTGATGGCCATCATTGCGAATTTAATCGTCTTTCTGGCACTGCTCGCTTTCGCGAATAATGTTGTCGCGTGGTTCATCAGTTTACTTGGCTACGACGGGTGGAACCTCGAGGTGCGCTCACTCGTTCGCTTTGACTTTCCGTCATTGACCCCAAAATGACTTGTCGTCGTCGTTTTGAGATCAATATCTCTTCGTGCTTTTAAAGCTAACAGCGAACTTCAGCTAAACTCTGACGAGAGAAAAAAATGTCAATTTTGGGCCTGATCCCTTCCATTGGGTTCATATTTTCAGCATTAATGACGAAAATTGCTCACAGTAATTCCCCTGCACCAGTGCAAGTTGCGGCTATGCTTTTTTGAGGTGTATTCTTGCAGAAAGTTGAGTTTTCGGGTATGAGCGAGATTCGGAGTGAATAATTAGCGGATTTCAGGTTCTGCTCGGTTATATATTTTTCCCGGTAGCTTATTTGATGGGAGTAACGGCAAGTGCCGAGCAAACGTTGCGAGTGGCACAGTTGATGGGTACAAAAACCATGCTGAATGAGTTCATTGCGTATCAACGACTCGGTGCAATGGTTGCCGCAAATCCGCCGTTGTTGACGGTAAATTTTGTGTTGTTTAAACGAAATCTGTGAATGAGTATAACCGTTTCAGTACAAATTTAACGCAAACTCAATTGAATTGCATTATTTGCAGCCTCGATCGCAAATGATCGCAACATATGCGTTGTGTGGCTTCTCGAATATCAGTTCGATTGGTATCCAGTTGGGTATTATCGGCGGGATGGCACCCACCCGTAAAGCTTTACTCTCGAAAGTAGTCATTCGAGCGCTCATCTCCGGTTGTATATCTTGTTTCTGGACAGCGTCCCTGGCTGGTCAGTTCGATGCACCCTCACATGAACAATTCTCTGACTTGATTTCAGCTCATCTCAGATTAAAATTTGAAACTCTTCCTTAATATTGACCAGATTTATTAGTAATTGATCAGACTGATCAATATTGATCAGATTCACTTTTGTCTAAATGAATAATCATTTCAGGCATTATCGTCTCGGAGCCAATCTCATGCCCAAGACCATTAGAGAGTGCTTCATGCTTTAACGTCACCGAATACCAGCACTTATTAGCTAATGCCACAAGTTTGAGCACACTCGCGCCAACATTATTACCGAATGTAACGTCAATGCTAATCAAAACTGAACTATAAATTAATTTTGATGCAGTAATAATAATAATAATCTGTTCTGATGTATTCTTTTCATTTGCACAGAGTCTAATCGCTGAAAATAAATATGAATGTAATAATAATACTAATGATTATAGAATAAGGAGTATTGTCAGTAAGACTAATAGTATCTGTATTGTTGATAATATAATATGTATCGCGATGTTGTTATTTCAGTGTGTTCGTATTCGGCGAGATTTTATGAGATTTCTTGTCATTTTATTGTTATTGTTAATTTGTGTCATTTATGTGTTAATTTGTGCAGAGACGTGTGCTTGTGTTTGTAGAAAATACGGGGCGAGTTCATTGAGTGGGTTTTCTAGAATTCAGTTCANTTTATGTTAATATTCGTGTTAATTTGTGCAGAGACGTGTGTGCTTGTGTTTGTAGAAAATACGGGGCGAGTTCATTGAGTGGGTTTTCTAGAATTCAGTTCATGGAATACGGAATTATCTGCAAAATTGTATCAATCAGTGGGTTAGTAGAAGAAAAGATGTGTTTTCATGTGATGGTGGGATCACTGTGATGTGATTTTTGCGATACGCAAATCTGTTTGTTGAAATTGTTTTTTCTCTGGAGGTTTTTGAAATTTGAAATTTGGAGGTTTTCGCTTCGTATTGCCTGATTGTGAGTCAATTTCAGTCAATAAAGTCGAGCAGAAATGCGTGTAAAATTGATCAAATTGATCAAATGTTGATCAAATTACACAGTCAGAGCGGGAACTTTAGAAAGAACTTTTTTTTAAGAGCGGGAATATCCCCAAGCAAAATGTTATTCTCGATTTTCCACTCGCACACGCCAGTCTACCAATGCGTTCCGTCACTGACCAGTTGCTTCTACAATTTATAATATTCTGCTGTGATGTTTTCTGCACAGTGATTATAACGGTGCGCTATCTAAACAATTGTAAATACTCATTCGATGGAGTGAGTGATTACCACTGCGGTTTATTAGCGATTGGCATCGATTCTTCCGTTCAACCGAGATCTTGCACTGGTTTATTGCTATTATTACTGTGATTATTATTATTATTATTGTTACTCTTTGTATTGATGATTTATCAATAAGAATTTTGCTAGAGCAATAGTTATCGTTTAGTAATAATTAAATTTATTGCTTAAGCAAAATTCAGTTCACTCACAAATGACAATGATACAACACTGAAGTAATAAAAATTATTATGTGTATCTGCGAGTTGCATTCGATTCGTTTCGTTGATGTCATTCGATCAAATCGAATCGAATGATGAACATCTTTCTAACACCGACTCAATCTTCTGCGACAGAGCACTTCTCAAAAACAAGCGTAAGTTTGCGAATGTTTATTCAGTTTTATGAAAAATCTCACATCAGAACAATTCCGATATCGTTGCGGAACATTACTCCTTGTCTCCACGTTGAAACCCACCAAACCGAAATACGAAGATGCGAAAATATGTCCTGTTCGGTTCAAGAGCCAACAACCCGGTTGGCACTAGTCAGCCAGCCAAAGCGTATAAACGACCGAGCAGTCAACCAGCCTTGTCTTTCTCGCTGCCTGTGCAGCCAACTCGAACAATCCCCTCTCGTCTTCATGTCTCTATTTTTGCCGATCCATCAAAAAATATTCCTCACACGAGCTTGTTGTGCCGTGCGTGCACTAGGCAGTAGTCAGTCATGTGCACGTTATTTTTGTTGTTGAGTGCTAAACTGAAATCAATACGACGACGAGATATATTCTACATATATGTATGTATATACGTATCTATGTACGTGCGTGCTTATTTCATTAAATTTATGCTTTGATTCATATTTGCACGTTGTGCTGCTGCTGCTGCTATTAACTAGACATTAATTAGCACTTGCAACTGAAAGCCTTCTCAGTCGTAATGGTAATAACTGAACAGTGTGAAGAGAAATAACGTTAGCTGTTTTGTTTGTATGCCATTGAACAACGTAGATTTGATAGAGTGGCGTTGAAGTGCTGTTGCACTGCGGCACTATTGAGTGAGTGTGTTATTGTGAAGTTGGAACCGTTTTGAGTTTATATTCATTTTATTGCTGTTGTTTAATCATTCTGTACGGTCGAGGTTGTTCCCGTAGCGTTTTTAGATTGCCCGATTTTGGTCTTTTCGACATGTTTTTCTTATTTTCATTCGACACACATCGAACACTATGCCAACCCAATCCCGGTGCTTTTCAGAGATTCTTTTTAGAGTTTCGTCGGTGTGATTTACAGCGGATTGAAAATAAATTCATGAAAATAAAGTTCATGAAATTCATGATTGAAAATAAAGTTTTTTCCAGTTGACGTGAGGTGGGAAATGATTCGCTGCCACATGATTCGCACTAAAATTCGAGCCGTGTGATGAGTGTTGTGAGAAGGAGGCCGCTTATTTCTTTTGGTCTCTTTTGGTGTTGTTTTGTTTTAGGGCACACTGAGCGATGGATGATATGTGCCGTATTAGAAAGAACGGTTCTGCAAATGTTCAACTTGTGAGACTCTCGGTTGTGTGCATCTGACTTATCTCTCACTGTGCATTGATGCACAGTTTGTTTTATGTCTCATTCCACCGAATGTCCGTATAATCGTCGGATCTTGTGAGATCGCGGACGGAAAAAAACTCCGAGTGACTTCTCCAGCCCCCCCCCCGGAATTCAGTTGAAATTGCCGATTGCCGATTACCTCATCGTTTCTTCATTTCTCGTCGTGTTAGTATGGAGTTGTTAGCGATTTGGAGTGTGTTCGGCAAAAGTCGTCTTCGAATAGTGGCTGAATGCCAAACTGCTCGCTCTTCGATTACTTACTCTCGCGGTCGCCTCGCCGCGCGTTAAACAAGCTATGAGCGTTGTAGTCACATTTATCCGTCCATCCATCTATCCAAGGAACCGATCCGTTGGTCACCTACAGATCTCAAGCCTGATTTCTCAAGTTATGCGGATTTTACAATGGCTTGACACTTCCTCTTATTATTGTTCGTGCTTATTTTACGTGTAAATGCGAATTTGATTGTACAGTAGTAACGGTTTATTAATATCATGTTTAAATTAATATCGTGTTTGAATTTAAATATTTGAATTTGATTAATATCATGTTTGAATACCCTCTTCACTCGTTATCATAAAAGGAACAAGTATGCAGCAGTTGAATTTGAAGTTGCGCATTCGCTCGCCTCAGCGCGGAGTTCTTGCAGTCTTATATTGAGCACTTGCAATTTGTTTTGAAAAATGTGGCACTGTTGTTTATTCACTGAATATTAATGTCTTGATAAGCGCTGTGATTATCGCTGCTTCCTCTTGATGTGCAGCAAATATTACAAAAGCCTTCTGTGTGAGTAGCTCTCTACCATCTCATTTTCAGCTTTTAAAGATAAATAAATTCATGGGAGAAGAGATTTTCCGATTCAGTGCTTTCCAGCATGAACATTTTTGTGCACACTGCCCAGTATAATTCCTCTCGATACCACCTCTACACTGAGGTTTTTTTGCACAGTATAGTTCTCGTGTGCTTATATTGTGTTCTGTTTTATAATATCCCCGTGAATGTGCTGCTTGTTTCATAGCACCGCGATATTCGCACGGAAAAGGTAATCCTCACAGCAGGAGTGACACATCGAAACTGATCGAGAGAGCTTTCTGTGTGGAAGCAGTATCTGTGATAGGAGAGCAGAGGTTGTGTTCGTAAAACTGATTCTAATTTTAACCTCCTCTAGAAGAGGCGCTTTAAGATCGGTGAGCTTATTTTGTGTTCATGTTTATGTGTTTGTGTATTTTCACGTTCCGTAACGGTTTGTGTCGATAAACGCAAATGATTTTTATGGTTTAGCGAACGTTTCTCTTATTGTAATGTTTCCTAAATACGGCTCAAGCTCTTGAATTTATTCCGCGTTCGTGATTTGCATTGATTGATTGAACTTGATTTGATTGATTGAACTTGTCACAGCTCGATGTGTTCCTATTCAGCGTTGCGTTTCGAACAAATTCATAGCATCAAAAAAGTTGTGAAAATGTTTAACTCTGCTGATCTTTCGTCTGTACACGTCTCAGTTGATTTGCATCGGTTATTTATGCTTATCACAGCATCTATAACCGATGCAAATCAACTGAGACGTGCACAGAATGTCCCCTCTTTCTGCGACACTTCAACGCGAGATCACTGTTGCTTGAAGATTGCGTTTTGCCGTGCCGTCGTGCATATCGAGCGCTTCTTATGTATTTGCTTCCATCTTGTTTTTTTGTGTCCTTTTTATACTTTTAAACTGATTGTGAGATAACCCGTCAATTTGTTACGTTCATTGTTCGGGTGTCGATGCTGAAAATTGTTTGATTTCTGTGCATCGCAGAAAATGGTCGAAGCGTGCAAATTAGATAGGTCTGATTCATTAATAAGGTATCGGGGGATGTGCTCAAACCTCGATTCTGTCTGCGCTCAACGTTCTCTGTCATTTCTCAAGATTTTAATAGTATGCAAATGAATCTAATGTTGAAATCAAATGTTCTCAAGCGATGAAAGAAAGGATTAATTTAGAGCGCTTCAACCAATGACTCTAGTATTCCTGAGTCCTAAAATAGCAACTTGATTAGTTAGAGAAGTATGTATCGATTTATTGGAATACTAGAAGAGTGAACTTTATGAGATAGTGATGATATGGGATACTCGAAATTTTAGTGGATTGGTCCGAACTATCGCAAAAAGATTGAGTCCTAGTCGAATACTTCATATCTGAATCATAAATTTTGCCGGATATAGGAAACCGAGTGTAATGCTGAGCTAGTCAGTCCCTCAAAATGCGACGAATGAATTTTCCCGTTGCTCATCATGCCGCAACAAGAGCCAGTGCGTGTATATGTTTGTATGTATGTATATGCTGATTGGTGTGAGCATGGAACAGAGCAACCGTACGCAGCGTGTTGCCACCCGGCCAACCAGGGACTGAATCCAGGTCTACGAAAACTGCAGAGGCATTATGTGATGGCAGCGATTAGATGGCACAGAAAGTGCCAGTGGGCAGGAGGAGAGCAAGAGTAAGACTATAAAGTAAGCAGCCACAAACAACTAAGCTCTTGTAGCTGGCGGCAGCAACGAGCCTAGGCAAGGAGGCCAAGTCAAGCATTAGTAACATGATGGCCTATGTTAGGGCGTATCCACCACGGCTTACAGCGCAGCATAGCACACACACACAGCCTGTTTGCCGGTACTTCTCCTGTTTCTGCGCCACTATAGCATCGGCCAAGCAGTGAGTCAGTCAGTCAGTCAGCTGAAAGGCTTCACTGAAAAGGCATGAAAAGAGATGTCGTCTTGTGCTGCCGCATTGTTGGTTGTCTGTCTTGTCATCTCTATCACTACCACAGTCTTTACACTTCCACACCATCCAGTAGCTCATGCGTGTAGACTGAAAGACCGTGCTGATGTTGTGTGAAAGGCGGAGGTATGAAAGATATGAAGGGTGCAGAAAAAGAAGCTTCAAGAAGGTACCAACTGGATGGCGAAAAGCAGCGGCGAGAAGATGTGATGTGATGTCTCGAGCTGTTTGGTTGGTTATGCGTGGTGCGGCTTTGTGAGTGTAGAATGATTATATAGGTAGTGTTCTGGCTGTGTGACTGACTCCTCTTCTCCCTCGTCGTTCTGTTAACTGGCACAGCAGTGGCAGCAGCAGCACTCAGCGAATTGGAATCAATAAATTGACACGAAACGAAGGTCCGAATGAATGAAAGAATGATAATCCATCCATCCGAGCGAGTTAACTATTACTACCACGGCGCCAAGTGATCCTTCTTCGCTTTTTTGTTGTCATCCGCATCCGATAGCCGTCAACTCGCACATCCCTCCATATCTATCTCTACAGCAGCGTTGCCATCTGTTATTCAGCCTAGTATCACAGCGATTCACAGCTACATGCATCAGTTTGCCCGTCGCAATCATTTGATTCTCGGCATCAACTTCAACTTATCACTCGGTTGCACTCACTCACTCTCTTTTGCCCTCCCTGTTGTCACTCTCCCCTGTTTCTCCTCAACTAGCAGCAGGTTTTGTTGTTGTAATTTATTGTCTAGAGCAGATGCAGGCAGATTCGTTAAACCGAACGAATCGGCGAAAGTACTACTCTTTATGTGTTTGTGTGTGGTACGCATATCGTATCATATCCTATAATATAAAACATACAACATCCTTATTCTATGCAGGCAGCCTTACTGCTCCTCCTCCTCCTCCTCCTCCAGCGTTCGTTCCTTTGCCTCGCTGCTGACTCGAAGTGCTGCTGATGAATCGGCTGCCATGCGCACGATAAAATAACGCCAGCGAAAGTGTGTATTCATGACATGCATCGCATATGATGTGCGTCATGTCACTTCAGCAATCTGTTATCTATCTCGTTTATCTTTACTCGTCTGGCTATGGATGCTTTAACGATAAATGATATGGCATCTTTTCGGATACCTCTAGGATCGAAAGTGACGAGAACATCGTTGCTTGAACATCGCTAGCCATCTATCTATTATATCTATCTCCCTTCGCACTGTGCCACCACGACAAAGCGCTGGTGACAATATTGAGTTACCGTAGCGATAATGCAGAGAGTTGCACGAATCGTGCCGATTCGACAGTGGCAAGAGAGATAGATAACACAACGAAAAAGCTGACCAGCGTTGGCTTGGCCACGAGGAGAGTGCAGCTTGTTAAGATGCCTAAAAAGTATGAGCAGCATAGTCGTAATATTGAAGCGCGAGGCAACACGGTGCACGAATTTAGAACAGTGCAGTGAAGTGACATATAGATGTGTATGTCTACAGAGAAACGAATGAGTAGTGCACAATGGTGTTGGTAAAGCTTCTTGTTGCATATGCAAGTGTGCAGATGTGCGTACATTTGTCCGTTATTTTTCATCAGTAGAATTGAGAATAGGATTAGGATAGAACACAATGAAGTGAGTAAGCAAATGTGATGATGCACGACGAGAGGCCATGGATAGAAAGGAATAATATAGGTGTATGAAGAGTGATGAGAAGGAAAACGGAGCAAGTCAGAGGATGAGTGAAGAATGAGGCATTAACTAAGTGACAAATGATGTGTGAAGCAGGCAAGAGAGCTGTGGCAAGAAATCAAGTACAAGAGAGTTGAACAGCGAAGGCATACTACCATAGCAAGACAACTGCTGTTACTGCTAGAACAACACTGCTAAGTGACAGAGAGAGAGAGAGAGATCGGCAGCCATTCCCGACTGCTAGTGGATCGAGATTGACTGCTGCCTGCCTGCCTAGAGATTAGTTAATTGCTGTCGACTGCCTAACTGACTAGCTGCTGTGATCTGGCTGATCTAGTATCCTATCCGGTACTGATCTAACTAGGGCAGTTGTGCTGCTTTGTTGTGGTTTTGCTGCTTGTCCTGGTTGCATCCATCCATCCATCCAGCCAGCCATCGGTGCTGCGTTGCATTCATCCAGCCGTCTACCGAATCCGTGGTTGTTATTGTCGTGCTGTTCGCACTGCCACTGTCATTCTCTGCCTCGTTATATTCTCATTTACATTATCCACATCCATCCATCCATCCAGCCGAGCACATCGTCTTGTTATCCTGCTCTTCTCATCTAGTGCTCCGTTGTTGCTATTGCTGTTCCCCTAGAATTTCACGGCAGCTATAGCTAGTAGCTGCTACCTACTACGATTAGTGCTACTGCTGGTGTGGCTGTTGCTACTAGAACAAATAAGTGTTTATCATTATCATTAGAATATATCGAATCATCATTGCCAACCCTTTGACATCATCCGATCTGATCGACGACATCGAATCGCCATCACCTCAGCCAGTGAAGACACGACTTGATTCTCTCTCCTTTTATCGTACTGCACCACCAGTCTGTCATCGTAGCCTGGAGCAGCAGCAGCGATAACTGACAGCTACAAAAACAACGCCAGCAACTAATCAATCAACTAATCAATAACCGTGCGCTAGTGCTCCCTCCAGTGACGGACGTGCTGTGCTGATCACTCGGTCCGCTCCTTCCTTCTGCACGAGGCCGGACTGAATCATTAGTGCCGTTTTTCAGCAGGAATCATCATCGTCACCTTAAAATTGTTGTTTTCGATTGCCCGTCGTTTGTCGTCACCGCATCCATCCTGTGCTCCGTACGTTTTACTTCTAGGTATTTTGTATGCAACTGTGCCGCGCATGATTCTAATAGATTTAGCTGAAGAATAGACTCGTCGATTGTATCCATCCATCCTGGTTGGTCGTTCTCATCAATAGGTATTTGCGTATCATTTCGACAGCTTTCTTGGTATTCTTCTGCTGTAACCGTCAAGCTTTTTATATGTATTTATTTGTTTTCAAAAACGGAAGAAAGCAACAAACGTTACGAGAAGAAAATTGAGTTGCTTATTTGGCTAACCTAGAGTGGATGATTTGAACGCGGGTTTAGTGAGTGAAAACATAAGCACATTGCCATTGATTACTCGTTATAAATGTCGTTATTCATTATTACTAATATTGTTCGTGTTCTTATTATTTATTTCTGATTAATCTGAAGTGATAATATAATTATTGTTTGTTTCCGTTTGGCTGAAATTAGTTGACTATTTTGATAGTTTTGTATGCAGGTGGATGAGTAAAAGCTGAACTCTGTTCAATTTTTAGTGAAATTATTTCTGGTGGTTCAATAGATCAAATCAATTCGAGCGACGACTTCGATTCACCACCACCAGTCACCATTTATTTCAACGCTGTATTCTCATTCACTGTCTCCTGTTGCTATTATTCGTGTGATTAACGGAAGAAACCGAGGGCCGATCGATATTCTGTGATAATTGTCACGTCGGCGCATATACAGAAATACTCGCTTGATCGCACGCATCTTAACGAAACGAAAGCACGCAAGAACAGTAAAAAAGCTTCATCATTACCAGCCAACATCATATTTTTCTGCCGCACTCGATTGGTACGCATTCAAGTAGAAGAAGTTCGTCGGTTGAATCAGCACAATAACAGTCAGTAGTCTCACGGCATTATCATCTATTGTCTATGTTATAAGTCTGTTAGACGACTTAGGTACATACAGACACAAAGTTACGAAGCGTGGAGTTAGGATTGATTGCAGTTGACGACGACTGAAACGACGCGTCCCCGTTTAGTAGCCGATAGCTGAGTGTGAAAATGAGCGAATTGGATCAGCTCAGGCAAGAAGCCGAGCAACTTAAAAGCCAAATTAGGGTGAGTTTTCACTTCTCTTTTTCTTACGAATTTATTATTATTATT